CACACACACACACACACACACACACACACACTCAGCTATGTGACCAGTTCAGGGTTGGATTTTTTTCCCCCCCAACAAACTGCACACTGTCCTGTCCACATCTCGTCCAGCCCCCTTCCCCTCCTCACCCCACGGCCGCCTCACCTTTCTCCCGCTCCTTTTTCCCAGGGTCAGCTGCTCGTTAGAAGTCGCTGCTCGAGGAAGACCTCTGGAGACCCTCATCCTTCTCGACCACCATGGTGCCCAGCAGCTTCTGCAGAGTCGTCCTGTTGCTGCTCCTCGGCCTCCTGGTCGTCTTTGTGCAGACAGGTAAACCTGACCAGGTGACACGTGCAGCGTTTTTTCTGCTCCTCCTGCAGAAAAGACTTCATAAATGAAAAAAATAATAATTTTTATGTGACGGTTTTTCATCCTTTCAGAGTTTTGTTCTCAAGATTTCAACATATTTTAGTAAAGTATATGTTTTTCACTGCTATATGAAGTTAAAAGTGAATTTTTTGTCATCTTTGTTTCATTTTTTTTTTTCAAAATCTCAGGCCTGAATCAGTGTGTGTGTGTGTGTGTGTGTGTTTGATGTAAAGGATGCAGTTGTTGAAGCTGTGAAAGCGCCTCTTTCACTGTCAGGATGACTCAGTTGCTTTCATGAAGTTCACACCGAGCTAAAAACGAAAACGTCCCTCTCAACCTGAGCTGAAGTGATTCAGTGGAGAACTGAGGTTTTAGATTTTTTTTGTTTTAGTTTATTTTTCTCCTTTAATGGGTTTGCRTTGAACTGCCCTCAGCAAGAGAAAACTGTCAGATGAGGACATCAAAGCTTGTTTTTAATTTTATTTCTGTGTTGAGAAGGTCCGCAGAGCAGCTTTGGGGGCTCTGAAAGGTCAGGAGAACACCGGGTCCTCTCTGTCCTGGAGGGAATAAAAACGACTGAGAACGAGGAGTTTTGAAATTCAAGGCTCAGTTAATTGAACCGTTGGTTTTCTCCTCTGCAAACACAGTTTTGAGAGTCATGAATATTATGGGATGTTGTCAAGTAGCGACCACAGTGACAAGAAGCAACACGAGGAAACAGAAGAATTTTAAGCAACAGAATGTGAGAAATACTCGCTGTTTTTTAAAGTAGCTGATGATTTGTTATTTATTTAAAAACAAAAACTATTAAAATTATAATTGAGGCAGAGTTTTGTACATTTCAGCCCCTGAGTGTTGGTATTTAYAGTAAATACGGTGAAGTCAGGGTGCAGGCAGCGCTGCCAGCGTATTGCTTGTGGTTTCAGTGCTCTGCAAGGTGACTTTTCACACCCACTTGTCTGCATGCTTTGTTATCTGTCTGGATGGTGTGAAATCCTGACTGAGGAGCCTGAAGGCCCCAACAAATGGCCCTCTGTGTTTTTAGCTTCAGACGCTTGAGTCCGGCTGGTATGAGAGGACGATGACTCAGGAGATGCAGTGAGACGTATCCTACTCTTAATGGTCTTGAGCGGAAAAATTTTCAGTTACTAAGAAACTGAGCTCTGACACATATTCAGAAGTACGATCCAGATTCCAAAAAGTTGCGATGTAAAATGTAAATWAAAAAAAACGAAAGCCGATTATTTGCGATAAAAACTTAATTTTTATTCATGACAAAACATGGTAAGTTTTATGTTTAAACTAAGAAATTGCACCAGTTTTGGATAAAACAGAGTACTTTTGAATTTTATGGCACTTCTTTTTAAATTGAGAAAACAAAAAAGTAGCAGGGGTGCAAGTAAGAACCAGCTGGAGGAGCATTTTGCAGTTAAATTAGTTTATTTGGCAACAGCACCATTTTAAAAAGGTTAAATATTGAAATGAGGAAGGGCAGGTGTTCACTGTTCAGCAAAAACTGTTTAAAAAAATCTCTGAGCACAAAAGACAAGACTGAAATTTTAAACATAATCTTCAGGCCCTCAGGAATTATAAATTACAAATACAAGTTAAAGCTCTATCATGCAAAAAAAGAAGCCAAATGCTAATCAGAAACTTCTCTCAGGCCAAGGCTCATTTAAAATGACTTAAAGCAAAAAATTTAAATCTATTTTGGAAATCACAGGCACTTTGTCCTTGGTACTAAAGAGCAAAGGGATAACTGAAGTCTGTTATCAGCACAGTTAAAACCTGCCTCTCTGATGGTATGGGGGTGCACTGGTCCCGTCAAAACGTTTTGAGATGTGTTGCTGCAAACACTTAAATATTAGTGTCTTATTTTTACCTAATTAGCTAATGATTTGATACATTTAATGTTTCATTGTGGATACATTTATAGATCGATTCATTCACGTTTTACTTACATTTTTCACTTCCCAACATTTTTGATATTGAAAATGTGTAAACRTTTCAATAAACTTGTTTTGTGGTTCATGTGATATTTTGCTTACAGTCAAAGAAACGCATACAGGTAATTACRTTTAATGATAAAAGCTAAATAATAAAGCTAAAGTTAACTGTGGGTGGAGGGAAGCTAAAATCAGCGTGGAGGGGTGGAGGGGTGGGAAATTAGGTATTTTCCAGGCTCATAATTCAATTCTATACCACAATCAAGTAACCATATTACCTTCAGTTGTTATGAAAAAGCTGTATATATTGAAAATAAATGTGACTTTGCATCATAGCCTATTCTAAACACCTTGAAATTGGCCTCTGTCTACCTCCTACCRTTTCTGACACTCCCACTTCAGCACATCTTCATAACAATGCCTTGGGGAGGGGTGTTCTGTGGGSYGGAAGCTCGGCTGCAGAGTGAGCTCCAAGGAGGAGCTTTGTACAAATAGGTGGAGCTTTGTACCAGCGTTAGGCAGCTCCACCGAAGATTCAAGGATTTTTCAAACCTGCATGAATGAGACAAAGCAACACTCTGATATGTTTTTGATGAGGGAATGATA